GGTGATCAAGAAGGATGAGCACTGGCTAAGGGACTAGGATGTACGAAGGTTGAGAAGGTACAAAGCACAGAGGCACGTCCCATCCCCGTACAAGAAACAATAGGGAGATCGGTGTGGTTGAAGTGGAAAGGGAGGGGCTGGAGGTGGAGCTGGAACGGTGAGTTGGGGGCAGATTATTGGGGTCTTAGACTGTTTGCTAACAAATACGTGTTTATCAGACAAGAAATGGAGAGCTTCTGAAGGTATTTAAGTGGAGAAACAGCAAAGGAAATGGTGGTTTGGATACCCTAGGAGCAGAGCGATAGGTAAACCGGAAGAGCAAGGAGCACACAGAGTAAGACAAGGACACAGCAAGAGGTGGTGAGGATGTGCTCTGGCCCCGCAGGGAGGACGAGGAGGCCGGGAGGTTCCTGAGAACTCGTGAGGTCTGGCGGGAATATCAAAACATTTGGTATGAAGAAAGAAAACGAAGGGGACTCCACCTTTCTTGGATTGAATGTTTGCTGCTGCTCAGGGACTCGGAGAAGAGAGGACATGGAGTCTGCCTTAGAGAAGAGGGAGAAGGATTTCACCTGGACACATTCCGTGCAGAACAGCTGTGGAGTTCAACAACGAGCACATCCTTACGGGGCGCTCACTGAGCATCAGGTCCGGGGTAGTCACCGGAAGACCAATCGGACGTGCCGCACGGAGCACACAGACTCAAGCGTATGAATGAGTGCACAGTGCAACTGCAAGAAAGTGCTAGCAAGGGCACCTGCAGGGGCTACAGGAGGGCCCGGGGTGGCCTGACCCCGATGCCAGGCTCTAAAGGAGAAGGCCAGCCAGCTGGCTGAAGGGAGCCGACGGACAGGCGTGGGGGGCAGGCGTTCCAGTTGGAGACCACGGCAGAAAGGGGGAGGAGGCATCGAAAGGAAGTCGCCACAGCTGAACATGTGGAGTGGGGGCGGTCGCGGTCGCGTTAAGGACTCCTGACTTTTCTCCAAGAGCAATGGGAAACACTATAGGGTTTTAAGTAGGGAACCAATAGACAGGTTTGCTTTAAAAAGATCATTCTGGCTGCTGTGTGGAGAGAAGGCAAGTGTGAGGAGCCTACTCCACCGGCCGTGGTGAGAGCGGAGGGTAGCCCGGGTCTGAGTGATCGGTCAACGGGGAGGTGGATAAGCGCAGTCGGATAACTTCTGTAGGGGGTTCATGGTGGCAGGACTTTGCACCTGAGCGGACTGGAAGAGGGAGGAGTGAAGCGGGCTGAGGGCACCTCTCCAGCTCCCAGGATGTGCAGCCAGGTGCTGTGGTGCCATTTACATCAGGGAGGAGCTCGGTGGTCACTTCCGCACAGATCAGGTTTGAGGTGCCCTTGAGACGGCTGAGCAGATAGATTTAAGAAGCCGACTTATGGATCTGCAGCTCAAAAGAAAAACCTGGGCCAGAAATAGAAACTTGGAAGCCACCGGCATGGAAGTGGCACCGCAAACCAAGGGAGAAGACATGGCCTACGGATCACGTGTAGATAGAAAGGTGGTGCAGGACAGATGAGGAGCCAGCAAAAGGAGGTGGGGAGGAGGCCTAGAGTGGCAGAGGATGGGGGAGACGAGAAGTAGGAGGTTTCATGGAATCCTAGGGGAAAAAAATACTTTAAGATGGAAGAAAAATAAGTGTCCATTGTGTTCAGCAACATGGAAGTCATTGGTGGATGCGGCAAGAGTAATTTCAGCAGGCGAGTGGGATGCTCGGAAGCGGCTGGCATCGTGGCTCAGGGTGTTCCTTCTCAACCACATGGAAACAAAATTTAAATGGAGGAAGCTTTCCCACGAGTCTCTGTCACTGTGACAACCGTCGGGGCTTTCCAATCTCCCCTGCTCCCCAACGGCCCTACTCTGTAGGGGACAATGGCCCCCGGGACTGCAGTCCTGGGACCTGCAGGGGACCGCTGAGCCAATACCGTGCTGAGCGCTCCCGTGCACCAAGCCAGCCTCGCCTGTATCAGGATTTTCTTATTTTATTTTTAAAGATTTTATTTATTTTCTTGACAGCAAGAGAGAAGAGACAGCGTGGGAGGGAGAGGGGATCTGAAGCAGACTCCACCCTGGACGTAGAGCCCCATGCGCGGCTCGACCCCAGGACCGCGAGCTCGCGACCCAGGCCGCCCTGGTGGCCCTACAAGAAGATCGTGAAGAAGTGAAACGGTTACCTTTTTTCTTTGAACAGGTAGAGGGGAAGTCCTTGTCTTCCACCTTTACTGAAGGCCTGTTACACTTCATCCTACAGAAGAAAGAACGTCGTGCTCCAGAACATAATCGAGATGGCCCAGGGGTTTTATCTGTTTTAACTGGAAGTCCAGCTGCAAATCAATACACAGAATGTGATAAACTGAGAGTAGTACTGTCTGTCAGGAGGGGGAGAGTGACCTTGAAGAAAGCCTCCTCTTTCCTGCCTCACTGCCTCATACTGACCATTCCTCCTCACTGACGCCGTGAAAGACGCATCGCGGGTGAGCGGGCTGTCAATCTGGAAAGGTTTCCAGATCTCCTAGAAAGCAGCTACCGGTAGGAGCGGGCCTGCGATCCTGCTGCGAACACTGGCTACTGGTCTGCAGACTGTCCGGGGATAACGAGCGCCCACCGTGGGAGAAGCCAGAGGGGGGGGCCACCGCCGGGGCTGCTCCTGGACGTCACCCCTCCAACCTACCTCCCACAGGGCCTCCCGGGTGAGCCTCCCTGGAATACACACGGCCCCCTCCCCGATCCTTTTCGCCCTAGCACACAGCGGGGATGCGTCTCCATCCCGAGATCCTTCCCCCCCTGCCCCCCGGCTCTGTTCCTCTCTTTGTCACCTGGTGCACCCACCCCGACTCCTCCTTTCAGACCCACCCCAGCCGTCACCTCCTCGGGGATGCCTGTCCTCGTGTCCACAGGAGAACGAGTCCTCTGTTCTCTCTGCTTGGCACTATTTCTATGGAGGTACCTATCACGCGGGGTGCTGGCCCCAGGTCTCCTCGACTGTATGGCACAAGCCTTAAAGGCAAGGACCAAACCTCACCTCCTTTTTCTCTTCATGTCACTACCAAAAATTGCCAGGGCCAGACTAGAAAAGGCAACAGGGACCAGGGGCCACACTGAAGTTTTCGGAAGAGGAGTGCCTTAATGAAAAGGATGGTTTAAAGGAGGTCTCTCTGGGGACATTTCCCTCTGGGGGCTGACATGGGGGAACGTGCAAGCAGGAAACTTGGGCCGTGACCACACTGGCCCGTGAGCTCGTGGCACTGACCCCGTGCCCACTGTGTGCCAGGAGCTGCCCCACGTGCTTTATGTATAGCGATATAGTTAATCCTCGCAACCATCCCACGAAACCGCTACTATTTTGTAGATAAGGAAACGGAGGCACAGAGAGGTTAAGTAACTTGCTCAAGGTCAAAGGTCACAGCTGACAAATGGTAGAGCCAGGAAGTGAGCCTGGCAACCAGACTCCAGACTCCATGCTCCTAACTGCCGGAGCACACAGGCTCCCCCGGGACTGATGGGGGAAAGCTACAGGGCCTCACGCAGGAGGGATGGGGGGGCACGGGTGAGGGAAGCAGGGTGGGGGTGGGGGACGTGAAGCCAGGAGGGGGCCCCAACTAATGAGGAACCACTTTGGCCAAAGAAACTTCCAATTTATATTTCAAGTTTTCTTACTTTTATCTTAGGAGGTGCATGAGTGTAACTCGAGTAAATAGAGGGAATTTTTCCGGAGGGGGGTGGTGGAATCAAACTGGTGTGAGCCCTTTAAACTCAGGAGCACACAACTGGGAATTTATAGATTCTGGGGGGTGGGGAGTCTAAAACCCAGAAAGAATCAAAATAGCTGTTTTTCCTCCCTGTGGATTTGGACATTACGTAAAGCAAAACAAATAGGAAGGTAGGTGGATAACTGCATTGAGCCCAGGAGAGCACGTGTGACCCAGTTAAGGGGCAGAGAGGAGGGAGGCCGGGGGCTGAGCGCATCGGCACACGCTGCAGTCCTCGCTCAGCCGTGCGGACGGGCCCCGAGGAAGCAGCCGCAGCCTGCTCCTGGACTCACTTTTTGCATCTATGAGCCGCTCCCGGGGCGCCGTGTCCGAGGAGGAGAGCTGCTCCTTCACTTTGGCGATATCTTTAGGGTGCAGGTAGTCAAACAGACTCTGACCAATCAGATCGTTCTGTGGGGAGGAAGCGTGAAAACCACACGTCAACAGCACGTGGGATACAACTTAGCCAACAGGTGCTCTGCCTTTTAGTTTGTATTTCTAGGCATGGGAATTTCAAATATGTCCAGTGTGAACACGTACACCTGTCCAATCACTGTGCCTAGGGACACACAGGACAGGCAGTGAGGCATCGGGACTTTGGTGTCCATGACACAGGAGGGGGAAGGGCGTATATTTATACTTCTATAAATAGTTCATGCTCCTCGAAGGCAGGAGTCTTTCAGCTGTACGTGTTCCCTGTTATTTGTTCTGGATGCCACAAATGCTCTGCTAGGAACACAGGGTGTGGGCGGGGACTCTAGCCCCACTGGGCCCTCGTGTTGTTGTGTCACACCGTGTGCCTCCACGGCCTTGTGTGGCAGCAGGGAAAAAAAGAAACGCCTTCGTAACTTTTCCCCAAGACCAAGAAGAGCAAGACACTCTGGATACATCCAACTTACATTCATTCTAGTTCACACAACTATCCTTTGGATTCTTCAATTCTGCTGCCTACCTACCAGCTTCCCATGCAAACACCAGCAGGTGAAGGAATGAGTGAATAGGTGGATGGATGGGTGGATATGTGAATAAGAATGCTAGGGACAGAGTGTCTCTGCTTAAAAAACTTTGCTCTAGAAGCTTGTGGGCATGCTTATCTTACTGCATCCTATGAACAATCATAAAAGGTATTATTACACTCATTTTTTTTTATTTTTAGAAGGAGCCGAGATTCAATAGAATGAAAAAGGGATACGTCATCACAAACACAGTATGGGTGGATCCCCATTGTTTCATTCTCTGGTTATCATCTGCCTTTCCTGGTCAGGTAGCCCCTTGCCTCGTGCCTCCTCCGCTCTCTCTAGCTGTGGGATATTCACTGTGCGGCAATAAGAAAGTATAAAGCTGTTGATGAGATCACAGTCAAACCTTCCAGTGAGGGAAGCATAGAACACATACTAAAAAGATTTCTTTCTAGGGGCACCCGGGTGGCTCAGTCGGTTAAGAGTCTGACTTTTGATTTTGGCTCAGGTCATGATCCCAGGGTCATGAGACTGAGCCCCATATCGGGCTCGGCACTGAGTGCAGGCTGCTTAAGATTCTCTTTCCCTCTGCCCCTTCCTGCCATGCATTCTCTCTCTAAAAAAAATACATAAAACTTAAAAAAAAGATTTTTTTTCTAGATTTAAATTTACTTCTCTGTTAAGAAATTACAAATTTTCTGGAAGAAGCATTGGGTGTGTGTGTGGGGGGGAGTTATAATATAAGCCTTTTATGTGTGGCTTGTATATTATAATTCTTCTAAAAAGTGGGGTGACCTTTCTGGCAGCCGTGAGGCTGCCCACCACCAACAGAAGCATAAGCAATAATACCTGGCTGTAGTTGAGGATCTTGAAGACAGACTCTGAGACGAAGAGTATCTTCCCTCGGTCACATCCTACGACAAACAAAAATCCATCTGCTGCCTAATCAGGAGAAATGGATAATCAATTTACCGCACTTTAGGAAACACGGTTTGTAATCACTCTGATAGCAACTAAGGATTTGTCTGCTAAGTATCCAAAGCACAAAACTGTACTCATTGAGTTTCACAAGCATCCTGAGCCCAGGACGCTCAAAAGGAATGCCTCATGAGAAGAAGAAGATTCTCTCAAAGGCAGGTATGGACATACGGATCATCATCGTCGTCGTCGTCATACGGGGGACGGTCCCACGGAAGCAATTTCAGTTACAACACTGAATTCATTTTAAGAATTTTCCTTGGAGTGTATCAAGGTCTGGAGAAGTCCTGTTTTATTTTGTTACTTGTAACTATGTAGAATCATAGAACCTGAGATTGAAAGGAGCCCTTCCATCAAAACCCCCTCCCGATATCCCGGCCACCCTGGCCCTCAGCCTGAACACTGCCACTTACGGAGCGCTCTCTCCGATGGTTCTCAACAGCTGGAGCGGCGCCTTGTGTGTCTGTGCTGCTGCTGTCTTCGTGCTGATGGCCTGGGGTGGGGCTGGGTCAGGAGTATCGTTCTCACCCCCACCCCAAATGATTCTAATGTACACAGGATGGAGAACTACTGCTCTCAAAGATCATTTCTGGATCTGGGGCTGGGCTGCTTACATCCTAAGTGAGGCAAGCAAAGCAAAGCAAAACTTTCCCCTCCGTTCTCTTTCCTTCTTCACTTTAAATGCAGGTAAAATATCTCAAGTCCCAGGAAAGGCAGATACGGAGACAGGATGCTATTTGTTAGACTGAAGCGGATAAATACCAAAGCTGCAGAGTCTGAGGGCTGCAGCTCGTGGGGTCTAGGTGCACGTGAACCCTACACCCAGAGCTCTGAGGACGGACAACTGCTCAGCTCCAGCCGGGGGCCTCCCAGGGATGCGGAGGGTGCTCCACGCTCGGTCACGTGCTTGCTTTCAGGCTCAGCAAACACAGTTCTAATCTTGTTTTATTCACCAGTCCTCGGTCTGTTCTTTGGAAAAATCTAGAGAAACCCAATTCCCTTTTCCACAGAGGGGCCTCTGGGGATGTAATTTAATTCAAAGAACTAAGAAATGAATTCGTGTGCCAGAGGCAAAATAATGGCACAGGCACCTGTGCAGACAGGAAAGCAGTAGGAGGGGAACCACTGCCGCTGAGAAGGCACCAGGCCCCTCAGCCAGAAGGGAGCTGGGGCCGCTCCCTCCCTAAGCTGGCCCCCTAAGCTGGCACAGGGCAGGGGAGGACAGTGGAGAGGAAGAGTCTTTCCAAACACCATCTGCTGGAAGCCTCGTTCTGTCAAAAAATAGGGTATTAATAACTTGCACACCGCCTTGCAGACGGTCTCACATCTAACATGAGAAGTGTCTTGAGGCTTTCGTTGGTGCAGGGAAGCAGCACAAAAGGTAGGTGACTCGGAAGAGGTGCCTGCGACATGCTGGAGGGAATGCTGAACCCCTGACGGGAACAAAGTGGGTTGCAATCCATCCAGGGCGAGAGAGTGAGCTCCTGTCAGCCTACAGGGAAGGCTCCAAACATCCTGACTCTGTTTCCCCCGGGCAGATAAATGCCACCAGGTGAAGGAGCCAGGGCCTAGGGGCCGCCTCACAAGTGGAGATGGGTGGGGTGCCGTGGGCTCACCGGCGGGGGAGGACAGGGTTGGTGGGGGAGGACAGGGTTAGCGGGGGAGGCAGGCCGAAGCTCTGGGGGTGCCTGCCTAGTTTTCCGAACATGGGAGGTAGAGCACTCAGGCTGGCCCTGACATGCCACTTGCCGAAGCCATTTGAAAGCTCTTGGTGGAGAAGTCAGACCTGCACTGGTGAAGAAAAGTACAAGTCCAGTTCCTGCTGCCCACCCCTCCAACACCACCTGAGCGGCCCCCGCTGTCTGTGCAGGAAAGTTCTGGGAAGTGGGCTCCCAGAATGGTAAGGGATTAGATGGTGCCTCATGGCCACGGGCAGGTGCCGGGGTTGGGGTAGGGGTCAGAGATGTTTCATCGGGGGAGACCCAGCACCACTGATGCTGCAGGATGCAGAAGCACAGGAAAGGCAAGACTGAGATGAAGTATTTAGCTTAAATGGCATGAAAATCCTTGGTCCATACCCTGGCAAGTGTGGGCATGTGACAGGAAATTCAGAAAAGTAGAGAGCAAGTTATTAAGCATTTGCCGTTGCAAAGGGAGATCTTTATATATTACATGTAGATCTATAACGATACATACAGAGAGAAACCTATAGAGAACACGGGCTTCGTACACTTTATAGGTGTTCAAAACCAAATCCATTTGTGTATACGCACACATTCATTTTTTTTTCCCTAAAGACGTCCAATCAGCAGTACGGCAATCAGGCCCTGCCCCGGGATTGCGGGGGCCAGTGCAGAATGGATATGCAGAGGCCCTGGTTCAAAAATCAGGATCTTCCAGACAGCAAGAGCAGAACATTAAAACAAGCGCTGGGCCCCGTGTGGCTGCGTAGGGTGCATGCCCATGAAGCCAGCCCTGGTGGTTTCTCCAGAGCTGCTGCCGACACAGTTAGTAGCTTAACTGCAGCAGGTCCCCCCTGAGGACCGGGCCAGCCTTATGAAAGGAGGATGGAGGGGGCAGTGCAGAGCTGCGTCAGAGTAACTGTGCCCTGGGGGAGGTAGCCCAAGGACCATCTCAAACTTGCTGGGACGCCCCCCCCGCCCCCAACGTGTTTATTGTGGACTTGGATTTTCCAAGGGCCGTGCATACAGAACTAAGTCTCAAAAACGAAAGACGCACCAGGCCTGCCTGTGGGATCTACCCATCGCAAGCAGCTTCGAAGGATCACTAATGACCACCTGGAACATAGGGCCACCCAATAGACAGACTTTGGTAGAAACAGAAGTTCAAAAAACCGAAGTGCACCTATACAGGATGGAAAAAACCTGACCTAACAATAATCCATGTACAGGAATGGGAGGGATGGTATCACAGTGGCCCAAAACATGGCACTAATAGGATGACTTCTGTGTCAAGGAAGGCACCAGGCCCATTCAATCCCAGGCCAACCAGACCACAGCTGAAGCTCTGTACTGGGTGTTGAGAGCCACTTCTGGAGGAAAATCTAGCAAATGACTGTGGCTCTGGAAAGTGTGTGTGGCAAATGCTGATGGGGGACCCTCGCCTGCCTCTACTATGATGGTGGGAAAAATCTAAATCCTTGCCCTGAAGCTAGGGGTCATCAGGTAACATCTTCTGGAGAAGCTGACATCTACAATCGGGCTTTCAGGAAGGCACAGCTTTTCTTGAGAAGAGGGACAGCTGGGCTAGACACTGTGCTGCCCCTTGTGTCTGGCTAGCATGGCTACACTGAGGAAACAAGCTGTACACTAGCTCAGCAGGACTGTTCTCGAAGACAGGAAGAGCCTGGTTCTGGCCGCCCTCATGGAGCCACCAGCCCCTCATGGCTTACCCCAGGACCAGCTATATTTGGGAAACAAAACCCCATTTGTTCATCAGGTCATCTGTTCCTTGCAGCTGAAAGCTTTGCAATTAAGATAACACGCCAGGCAGGGATGGGTAGAGAATGCTGGAGTGAGCACACAGGCCAGACGTACAAAGGACCGGAAGCCCAGCAGAGCTGAAAGTCAGGGTGACAACAGAGTGGGCTCTGTCCCAAGGCCTGGCAAATGTCAGCTCAAAGAGAGGTGCCCAGATACTGTAGGGGCTTAGCAAGCAAGGTCCACCCTGGCTGTGGGGGGAAGGAGGCTGGTATAGTTCCCTTCAGTTAGGTTTTTCTGTTTTTCTTTTTATAGTTTGCAAGAGGACAGGTTTCTGAATCCTGTTTCTTTCCCTTCGATTTCCAAGTTGATCTCACTCTACCCAGAGGCAGACCCAATCCCACACGGAAGCCAAGTTTGCATGGCGCCACCTCGATGGCCTCTCCGCAGAGAGGAGCAAGATGAAGTGAGCGCTACGGCCAGGAGGGGAGAGCCTTGCGTCCCCCATTTCTTTTCCTCCTTGGCAAGAGGAGTCTTTGGAAGCTTTGTTGCTTTGATGGGGTTTTGGTGGAAGGGTAGATGTGGATGTTTTTGTGCCAGCAGTTAAGTGAGAAGACGACAAATGCTCAATTATCGATGTCCATCCTTTTCTAAAGCCTTCATGCAGGAATGGGATTCTTCACTACCTATTTTTAACAAAATCCTGCCTCCTTCTATTTAAAAACCACAGTAGCCTGGGCCTTCCATTTTTGTCTAAGCAAGCATGGAAGGGGAGGAGGAAGACCTCAGGGAAAGAATGTGAAGACTGTCCAGACAAACAGACAGAGGTGGAGACCCAAAAGACGAGGGGCCTCAGAAGGTCCAAAGGTTAGACATCAAATTCCCACAGGCTGGTACCTCACCCAGAAATTCATAAAAGTGTGTACAAAACAAGCTCGTAAATGCGACATACCCTGAGAATGAGGTGTTTCAATTCATCATCTGACAGGAAAGTCGGCTTATAATTTGCTTCTGTGTATGGATTGGTGGCACCTTAGGGAGAAGAAAAGAGAAAGAGTTGGTCCAGTTTCTATTCAGGTAACGTCTCATTCCACTTCGCCGCCTCCACCCTTCCAGATGCGGCCTGGCCCCTGCCACCTGGAACTTCAATCTTATTTTCTTTTTCCTTAACAGAGACAGGGCTAGATCGGGCTTCGGACAGAAGCCATTGAAAAAACAACACTGTTGTCCACAGGGGACCTAACGAGTTTGCTCTGGCCACTGGAGGGGAGCCAAGAGGTAACAGACAGAAGGAAAAATCTGCTTCAAAGAGAGAAGGCAGCTCCAGAAGCCAAGCGGCAGAGGGTCCTGGGAGGATTCCCTCCCCCCAAGATTGACATTAAATGGGTTGACCAGCAGTCCCTCCAATCGTCACGCTGAGCCTTCCTGGGACATCATCCAGGCTGCCAGGCCCTGAGTAAATAAATACATTGTAGAAGGCATCTGGTGGGAGTGCTTCTTCATCGGGCAAGGCAAATGAGCTTGGCAACCCAGAGAAACGCATCACTTAAGTGACTACAGCTCTGGGTCCTCGGGCTGAGAGGGGACAAGATGCTTAAAAGGCATCAGTCTGGCATCGCATCGGAGAACAGTAAGAGAAAAATGCCAGCAGCAAATGACCTGGAATCCGCAAAAACAGAACAGTGAAGAAATAAAACAGAAAAAGTCCATGATTCACAGCACACGGGGAAGGAGGGTGACAGATGTGCCTGGGACTTTCACATCAACTAACCAGGCACAGGCTGAGCCACAGCCCGGCTTTTTATGACTCGAGATGTGTCACTCGTTTCCTTCCAACTTAATAAAAAAGTTAGCTTGTAGTAACCTAATCTCTATCACCTTCACTAAGAGGAAATTCTAGTGGACACGACGCAGACAGGTCTGAATGGGGGATCGCAAGTCAGACAAAACCGGCGACTCTGCCCTCCTGGTGGCTTTGTGGAAACACGAAGACACAATCCTTGTAGCACGCGGGTCAGAGGTCTGAAGCGGACTGAGCACCCACTTTCCAGTTCCCTCTGAGGGTCCGAGGCCCCACCGGAGCGCCACTTCCACCTTCCTGCCCCGCGTGCTCGCCCGCCCCGCGCTCGGAGAGGAAGGAAGACGCTGCCTCCCTCGTGAAGACTCTATCTGCTTTGGGAATGTTCCAGGAACATGAAAATACCATCAGTGTTCATCCCTGACAGCAAAATGCAGCAAGAACCAACCACCAGCCGGTGACTCACTCCTTAAAGGAGCCATGGTGAATTTTCCTCTGAAAGACAGGAAGGGACCCCCCCAGCATCCCTAGGTGCACCCGTCCTTCTGACGGCCGGGGCCCTGGCCCCCCTACATGCAAGATGTGTGGCCCCCCTCAGCTACACACAGCGCCCGAGGATCACAGGCACGTGCAGACACGGGCACGCATCGCAGCCTCTACCCCCTGGGCGGGGGAAGGAACAGCTGCAAAACCCCAACCGGACCCCATGTAAGCTCAGTGATCACCCCACGTGGCACTAGGCCTGTTGCTCAACGCTGCACATCTGTCAACTGACACACACTGTACTGGGGACTCAGGCACAACTGAGGCAAGGGAGGCAACATGTGTGGACAAGGTCACAAAGAAGATGAAGCCTGAGGTCTCACCTCGTAACGTCTTCATGTGCTGAGCGGCCATCCTCAGCGCGGTAAGCTCATCTAACTTCCTGGACATGGCGTTGCACGTGGGCGCCAGGGAAGCCAACTCGTCAATGGAACTGTTCATTTTATCCCGACGCCTCTTCTCAATCTGACTGTGAGCTTCCCTGCACAACAAGGGGAAAAACGACTTCTATAAAATGAGGCCAAGCCTCAGGGAAACGACAAAAATAAGCCGTAACTGGTTTTGACATTTCCCCTGACAGGCCACCTTTACAGCGTGCACCAGGTTTTGAACTAGACTTTTTGACTAGTCACCAAAATAGTGGCCTCCCTGCCAGGGGTCACTACTGGGGTTTTGTAGGCCTCCCTCATACTTAGCACGAAGGAGAAATAGGACAAAACAAAAACAAAACAAAAACAAAACAACCAAAACTGTCTGCTCAGAGCAAACTGGATGGCTAATTTCTCATTTCTTTTCCTCTCAGCCTCTGTGAGGTTGCATTTTAAGGTAAGCATGAAAGGAAAGAGAAGGGAGGTGGGGTCTGCAAAGAGTGAAGCTTCTGGAATGGCCACTGGGGGGGATCCTGTGATCCCGAAGTGGTCTCTGAGGTTGTGAGGAGCCCGCAGTGCACCTGTCAGAGACTCACTGACTGAGTCACTAGGTAACCAATGCTGCCATCTTTGGACCAACCACGACCCCACCAAGATATAGCAGATGCTGCATCTGTCCCCGAGAGCTTCCTCTGAAAAATGAGCTTCCTCTGAAGAATGTTCTACTCTTCCCTCCCCGGCGTGGCCACGCAGCAAAGCAGGAGGGTGCTTCCACAGGTACGCACTCTCCCCGACTACTTTGTACCTGCCACTGTGATTGTCCCTATGGAGGTACATCACCCTTGGAAACGCAGTTTGCTGCCATAGCAACAGAGCCACCAAGCAGGACCCCCCACCAAGGCTAGGCTGTGCAGGAGGGGGAAGCCAGGAGTCTCAGGTCAGTCAAATTCTATGGCATGACAGCCTCAGAGGACCCTAGAGCTAATGGCAGGAGCGTGGAAGACCCACGTGGATGGGGGCAGCACGTGTGGCTGGAGGCAGGAAGGACCGAGTCAGAGAATCTACTCAAAGGAGCCCCCATGTCCGGCCTCGCAGTGCAGGGAGGGCCACTTTGAGAGGGGAGGCCCAGCCCAAGAACGGAGTCACTGAGCCAGGTCTCCTCTGGGGGCCCTCGAGTCAGGAAGCGGCAACCTGCTGAAGACAGCTGGGGAAAAGCTTCAGCCGTGAAGGACTTCCTGCTACTCCAAGGGCCCCTTCAGGTTTAATGGGCTTAGACAGCCAAGAGCGAAGGCCACCCCAGTGTGGAGGGGACAAAGGGCAGGCGGCCACCTCAAGCGAAGGCCCTCAACACCTTCCCCATCCCCGAAAGGATGCTCAGCCCAGCAGGGACCAGACACAGAGCCACCTCAGCCGTGCTCTCAACACCCAGAGCCAGGATGGTTTAGAGACAGGCCCGCCCTTACCTTGCATTTTTGATCCTTCCTTGGTGCTCTGTGTAGTCTAACCTGGAAGGGAAGAAAGAAAAAAGGAAAAGATAAAACACGATCCCTAGGAGACTAATGGCAAAGTTATACAGCTCTCTTTTCCTCCCAGTTTCATTCATTTCCCAGCTTAATCCCTGTCCTCTCTCTCAACACACAAGGGCTCCTGCTGTTAGCTACGCCGGGGGCCAGGGGTGACCATCTTGAACTCCCCGGCTCACAGCCTCCCTCTTATCCCCAGTCAAGGACATGGGTGAGATCTGCGCCAACTAACAGAACACGTAATTATGCAAGGAAAACCGCTAGCAGGATGAAGGTCACGACTGGGTTCATGGTACCTTCCATGAGGGTCGTCTTTGTCTGTGTCCATGCTTTCTCTGAAAAAAAAAAAAAAAAAAAAACAAGAGAGAACGTGAGTTTTTGTGAATCAAGACATACGAAGCAGCTTCTTACAACACGGAAGGCTCTCATTTATCCAGAAACCAAATAGTCAGAATGTTCAAATGGCCACGGTACTGATTATCGACACAGGATCGTCAGACACACACAACTTGCACCTACTATGAAACTAGGACCGGGTTTCTGGATGACCAAGCAAAAGCTACATATGGTCATCAACAGAGCTTGCTTGGTAATATTTTAGGCCATATTCTGAAGATCGGGAATACACAGCATTTATGGACATTCTTTTTTTTTAATTTTTTTAATTTTTATTTACTTATGATAGTCACAGAGAGAGAGAGAGAGAGGCAGAGACACAGGCAGAGGGAAAAGCAGGCTCCATGCACCGGGAGCCCGATGTGGGATTCGATTCCGGGTCTCCAGGATCGCGCCCTAGGCCAAATGCAGGCGCCAAACCGCTGCGCCACCCAGGGATCCCTTTATGGACATTCTTAATCAGAGTATCCAAGTAACTAGAATACCTCATTCTTCCCATCATTCTGGATAAATGGAGTTTATTCATTTGCAGAACATACCAAGCCTCAAATATACATGTGCATATTTGGTGGGGGGCGGGGGTGGGGAGGCGAATGTACCCACAGAGAAGCACTGAGAGGAGTCCTGAGGCAGCTTCTCAAAGGCACTAATACCCAGTGTTCTGGTTCTCAGCCAGGTGGGAACCTCCTCGGCCTAAGGAGCTGGGATCCAGGGCACGAGTGGGGCCAAGGGGCATGGAACCCTGTCGGGCCGCAGAGCGTCCTGGGGTCACGGCAGGGATCTACCTCCCTTTTATAGACTCCAGAGGTCCCAGTTTCATGGCACTTTATGGTTCAACAGAAAACAGACTAGAATCCTCCAAGATGGGGGTTCCAAATCTCCCTGGGGTCAGCCCACACCCTTCTTCCGCCCCTAAGTTTATCAGCAGGAGGGCCCTGACTGGCACCTGAGCCTCTCCTTTTTTGTCTGGGAAGAACAGAGGGACATGGCCCTTCAAGCAATGGAGCCTCAAGGGCAAAAGCCACTTTTCTCAGGAGCACTAAATCACATCATGGGCATTCTGGGACAGTGGTTCACAACCAGGAGCCCTTGGCTGCCTCACAGGCAGAGAGCTTCTCCAGCTAGTCCTAAAGCACAGAAGAGAAACCATTCAGGCCACAGGGGAAAATGAAAGCTCTCCCTCCCCTTCTGTCTTGGCTCGTATCTGCTCACCAAGGCCCGGATCATCATCTCAGGTGAAGAGAGCTCTGCCTGACAGATCAGATGCATTCAGCACATTAAGATGACCGGGAAGGGGGCTAGGGGTGCTTAATATGGTCTCCACAAATCACAGAAGATTTGCAAGGGGTCCATGAGGGAAACCTGGAGGTCTTGGGTGGGGACCAACAGGGGACCACAGGTTTAGATCGCAGAGGTCTTAGAAGGCACCGGTGCACCGGTGACTCCACGAGAACTTGCTCAAGACAAGAGGTCTGTGGAAAAACTCCTGGCCTCCCTGTGGGGGATGGACTGGTCCAGAAGAACCCTCTCAGGCCTCACACCCACTCTCCATCCCCTGGGAGTCGCCTGCTCAATCATCTGGGGTCACTTACACATTAATCATAGCATCTCCTAGTGGGCATCTGACCTTCGGTCACTGTGCTCCCCAAATTCGACCTGTGAACTTCAGCAGAAAGGACATCTGCTGTGGGGGAGACACCTCCTTGAAGATTTTTCCCTCATTAAACAAAAGAAAACCTCTCAAGTGGACGTCGGGATAAGATTGCACACAGTTGCCTCAACAAAACAAAACATGCCTTAGAAGGTTCTCCGCAGCGCCCTATCCCCCAGGTGTGTGTACAGATATACAAGAGTGGACTGTAAGTGGGAAAATTTACTTACTCAAAAGAAAAGTCATCAAGTCTAAAAAGAAACAAAAATACTATTTAATATAACAGGTACATAGTAATTGGAGTAATGTTTCAGGGTGGCGTCAATGCTCCTACGGTGCTTTCGGAGAGGACCTGCACTCACACCTGCCACAAACAATTAAGCAACCGAGGTCTTCCCCAGAGAGGCCTTCAGGCAAAGTTCTCTTTGAAACCATGAGGTTACACCCAGGACAAATTTGCACTGGGCTAAGCCAGCTGGCTCAAGGGAGCCAAGGAGGACAAAGGAAACGGTAAAAGGTAGACCTTGGCTTTAGGGCTCTTCCTTTTCCCCTCATGTGGGACAATTTGGGGACAGGAGGGGGGATGTGGGTGCCTCAGCAGTGCTGGAGGCTCCATCCTGCTTGCAATCCAGTGGGAAGATAAAAACAACAACAACAATAGACCCCACTGTATGGCCGCCTAGACTTGTAGCTTTCATTTCCAGCCCTTTCCACAAAGAGGACCCCTTCTTCCAGGAGGAACAGGAGCCAGCCCTTCAGTGTGCCAGGAGTGGACACCAAGTTCAGGCAGAGGAAGAGGAGCCCAGAAGGCCTTACTGGTAGTTGGTGGAGCTGCCTTTCCGCTTCCGGTTGCAATCCATGCCACTGGTGCCGAGGGGGCTGGAGAGGAGGTCGGTGGGGCCTGGGGACATGAAGTCACTGATTGTCGAAGAAATGTCCATTCTCTGGTCAGCCATTGGAGGTCTGCAACTGGCACAAGGAGGCACAGAGGTGATTTCTAGGCATCCTTCTAACGTGGTGGAGAGGGGGGTACTGGGCTGTTGCGTCAACACGGCTCCCACCCAGCAGCAGGAGTAGGGATACCGCAGACTGGCGAGAACAGGATGTGCTTTAGGAGTTAGCATAGAGAACGGAGGTTGACCTGCTCATAGCTCTGATGAAGACACAAAGTTCAGAGCAACTGGGTGGCTTCTCCTGGGTGCCCATGCTAGGGCATGCAAGAACGATTCCAGAACCCAAGGCTCTATGGGCTTGGGGCCCAGTGCTCCTCCCATGAGGGGACCAGATATCCTCTGACAGCTCTCATTTTATTTTCTTGCAATCAATAAAATAAACATGATTCACTCGTTATCTTTGTGTTTTTGTTACAACTCTTGTAAAAGTCATTGGAAAGCAGAAAATATCCTTTCTCCGGCCGTAAGTCTCTCTTGGGAGCTGGGGAAGATATGGTCCCCCGTCTATCACGGGGCCAGGCAAAGTCTGTCCTGACTGCCCTGACCAGCCTTTGCCCCCAGCATCCCCTGCAAGGAAAACCTGCATGATGACACAAAGATAGTGCAGACAAATTTGCAAAACATTTTGAGAACCCACATTTTATAAGCGTGGGGTAAGTCGGCCCAAAAAAGAGGCTGATGAGTACCTTGCAAGGGACTCCAACTCCAAACCAAGTCGAAGAGGGAGGGGCCGTGCGCTGCCCACCCACACGGGGGTCCCAGCTCCACACCAGGTGACTGGGGTGGTCACTCCCTCTCCCCGGGCTCAAGTTTCTTCATCTGCAAAGCAAGAGGGGGCTGTGAGCTCATTTGCCCGATTTCTGTTCCACCCACAGATGAGTGCACCAGGTTAGGTGTGCGCCAACTTTTCACTTTCACAACCACAGCCAGAGGGAGCATCTTTGTGTTCTAACTCCAGGCACTTGAGCTATTATCTCTCCATCTAAATGTCTAAAAGCAGGACAAAAGGGAACACACATAATATGCCTTGGTACATTCTGGAACACTGTGCTGCTGAAAAGCTCCAATAATTTCTATCCCCAGCAAGAGCTCCTGTCAATCCGAAGGAAAAAACAAAACCCCATTGGTTTTTACTTGCATTTTTAAATGATTACGGATGGTGTCCCTATGTTTATAGACATGTGTCTGGTTTCCTTTCTGCCCACTCATGTCCTGTTTTCCTACCACGTTTTCTTCAGTATGGATGGGCCTCCTAACTCATGTTCACCTGGGCACCGGAACCTGGTGGCAGAGAAGCACACGGTGAACCGGCTGCTCTCCCTTCCCATCCACCTCCTCGCACACCTCCAATGCCAGTGCTGCCCGCTGCTCCTTGGCTCCCCTGCTCTGTGGATTCCCCCATCTGCCATCAAGCACGTCATACCCTCTCTTTTCTCCTCAAGCTTCCAACAGCTCCCCATCCTCCCTCTAGCAGATACTTTGCTTTCTACTTCATGGAGAAAAGGGAGCACATCCACTGGCCCACCCCCTCTCACTAGGGCAGATCATTGCCCCAGGATTCTCTCCCTGCCACACACCCTGCACCATCCACTTTCCCCACCCTACTGGGTCACTCTGGTTTGGATAAACATGGACAACAACTCTCATCTTGGGGAAAACACACACGCTTTTCTGAACTCTATTCCCTTCTAGCCGGTACCCCCATTTCTCTGTTTCCAGTTCTTTTCCTCTTCCTTGCTATAAAGCAACACAAATTGGGCTTTTGTCCCCATCATTCCAATGGAACAGCCCTGTTAGGTGCCCCAGTGGGCTCGTCATTGTCATTGCTAAGTCTGGTAGCTGGTTCTCCAACCTCCATACCTGCCCCATCCCGACATCTGCTAGAGCTGATCTGTCCCTCCTCGCTGTCTCTCAGCTCCAGAGAGGCCACCTCCTCATTGTCCCCTTCTATTTCAGTGGCCACTCATTCCTTGCGGGTCTCTTTTGTGGGTGCTTCCTCCTCCCTCACCTCTACATGAGGGTCCTACAGATGTCCTCGGACTTCCTCGGCCTATACCCACTCCCCAAGAGGTCTAATTTTGCTGCTTCAGATATGATCTATGCTATGAGAACCCCCAAATTTATCCCTCCAGCCTGACTGCTCTTGAATTCCAAACTTACACGGCCAAGAGGCCTCCAACTGAAACGTCCAAACCAAACCCCCTGGTTCTCCCTGAGCTAAGCCCCTTGGTGATGCTCACATCTGAATGCTCGGGCCCCAAACCTAGAAGTCATCCTGACTCCTTGCTTCCTTTTACAACCTGCACCCAACCTGTTAGAAAATCCCATCAGCTCCCACTTCTTTCCTTGCTCCTTTGTATTTCTGCTCAAATGTCACTTCAGCAGTGAAGCTTCTCTGAATATCCATATACTACAACACCCCACCAGGACCAATCATCCTTAACCACCCCCACCTGGCTTCATTTTTTTCCCATAGCCCCTAGCAATAATCTACTTCTTTATTTACTAGCTTCCTCTCCATTAGACCATTAGACTAGGAGCATCAGAAGAGTGGGCATTTTGTTCAGTTCACTACTTGCACCTTAGTGGCCTAGAACACTTTCTAGCATATGGTAAGTACCTAACAAATAGGTGTTGAATGAATATGTAAGTTCGTATATTTGGGATATTCATTCCTTGTTTGTCACAGATGTCATAAATACCCACCCCCTTTTTGCCTTTTAACTTTGCTTAGTTTTTATAGGTGATACTAGAAGTGACATGTTTTTTCAAAGCCTTTTTGCACCATAAATTATAAATATCCTCTTTACTAATATTTTTATGATTTGCTTAGCTCTTAATCCATCTGGAAATTACTTCTGGTACACTACCTACGGTTGGAGGTACCTACCTATTGCCCTTCAGTGGACAGGTAACTGTACCGACACCATTTACCAATCTGAAATGCCACCTTTATGGATTTATCGTCTACTTGTAGACTTCCTCTTCTGGTCCTTGGATCTAGTTACTTCCAATCCAGTACCACAGTATTTGTTATTGTGGCCTCATAATACATTTCCACTATTAGGTAGAACAAACCCGCTTCCTCTTCAGACTTTTCATTTTCAGAAATTTCCAGGTTATTCCAGTGGATTCTTTGAGGAGTGTTCTATAATCATGTAATCACATCGAAAGCCCTGACAGGTGCTGCTAGGAGCTGTTATCACAGATATCAGGAGTACAGAGCCCGATCCTCGGGGTCTCGGTGAGCCTTTGGGCTGCCAGCAGACACGGCGGTGCTACCTCTAGCCCCCACTCCCTCTTTTCGAGCAGCCAGACAGTTGCAGGAGGTGGACTACCCCAAGCTTCAGGGCGCTGGGAGAAACCACACTTTCTGAAAGAACTACCATGGAAGCCGCCAACGATGTCAGGTGTGGAGGGCAGGGGGAGGGGACTTGGGGGTGTGATTTTATTACCTGAAGTTACAGTTCTTAAAGCTCAGATTCACCCTGGGCGGAGCAAGGGGCCACGGGACTTATTGGTCACCTAAAAGCGAGTCTCGTGTTTTGTAGTTTCCTTTCAGGCAGTCAACTTCTTCCAAAACCTACAGCGGGGCCCACAAGGAAAGAAAACCCACACAGGTCACTTGGGGGAAGATACACCACACAACCCACTGGCTCCGCTCGAGGCGGCCAGGCTGGTGGCTCACGTTCTCACCGCTGGCGCCCGCTCAGCTAACCTGCCAACACGTGGAGGAGCTCGCGGGAGGGCTTCTCTGTGGAAGATGCTGCTTTTTTACTTAATTTACTTATTTTATTTTAAAAGATTTTATTTATTCATTCATGAGAGACACAGAAAGAGAGAGAGGCAGAGTCACAGGCAGAGGGAGAAGCAGGCTCCATGCAGGGAGCCCGACATGGGACTCGATCCCGGGACTCCAGGGCCACACCCTGGGCTGAAGGCAGATGCTCAACCACTGAGCCACCCGGGGATCCCAAGACACTGCTTTTTAAAGGACTAGACGTGGATCCTTGGATGCGGCCTTAAGGGACAGAAGACAACTGGACTTTTCATTTCTCCTCCTGGGTCAGGCAATAAAAATAATAGCGCCCGCTTGAGGGAGTGCTGGGTGTCAGGCACCGTCCCTACTGCAGGTCCCTACTGCTTCACAGCCTTGGGCCCGCACACAACTCTGGGAGGCAGATCCTCTGGCCTTCACCTACAGGAGAGGACGAGGCAGAGAGAGACGGGGTGGGGGACAGCAGGCAAGGTGACCCGGCGGAGGCGCGGGGCCCCGGGACAGCGGACACTAAGCCGCCACACGCACGCACACGGCACCCGAGAGCAAGTGAGGCCTTTGGAGAGAAGGGCCTGGAAGCTCTGGGCACCCCGGGGCCCCGAGCTGCGGGCACGGTCGGCGGTGAGAAGGCTCCGAGTCGCGCGCGGCCTGCGGCCCGTCCCCGCCCGCGCAGGACAGGGTCACCTCCCGGCTCCGCTCCAGACGGCCAGCCAGCCAGCCCGCCGTCACCCTCCCTGAAGCAAAGGTCCCGGCTGCTTCCCGCGGCCTCGGTGGGCCTGCGGCTTCCCCACTGCGAGGCCTTCGAATGGACGTCCTCCCGACGCCCTCCCCCTGCGGTCTGCCTCCGGGAGCCAGTGTGGACACGGCCTGGGAGCCCGGCCCCCAGGCCCCCGGGCCGAGCTGCCCGAGAGCTCACCGGCAGCCCCGCCTCGGCCGGCCTCCCCACACTCGCCCCACGCTCCTCTCCGGCACCCACCCGGCACCCACCCGGGCAATCCAGGGCCCAGGCGGGCGCCCTCCCCTCCCCTCCCCCACCGGCCCTCTGTCCCCTGGCCACCGACTCCATCCAGGCTGCTCTGGTCACACACAGGACACCCCCTCACTTAAACACTCCAGGGGCTTTACTTCTCTGCCCTGAGCCTTCCAGAAGCTCCCTGCCAGGACACACCAAGCCTCCACGGTAGGCTGGCCCGCTTGCACCCTGCCGCGCCCTCTGCTCCCCAATTCTCTGGGCCACCGGAAACGTAAGTTCTCAAGCACACGTGGCCTCAACTATGCCCACGCCGTTTGCAGGTGTGGCTCCCTTTACCCACTGGGCACCTGGTGGACTCCTGCTTTCCTTTCAACTGCCCCCACGTGGCAGCTCCTCAGAGAAGCCTTCCGGCTCTCCCCGTGCCGCTCTGAGCCTTCTCTTGGCACCTGTGGCCCTCTGCCCCCGCCCCATGATTTCACTACTAGGGTGCTCCCACTACACCCCTCACCCTCTCTCCCCCATGGCTCCAAAATTTAGAGGAAGGCTCTCAGTGCCAGACGCCATGTAAAATTTATTATTTGGACCAATTGTCCCAATACTCAAGTTTCCTTTATAGACATAATGAATGCTAACATAAATCCTGGCACTCTATCTTACAAAACAAAAATCAGAAGGCCTTGGGGCACCTGGGTGGCTCAGCGGTTAGGTGTCTGCCTTCAGCTCAGCATGTGATCCCCGGGGTCCCAGGATCAAGTCCCACATCGGGCTCCCTGCTCAGCGTGGAGCCTGCTTCTCCCTCTGCCTGTGTCTCTGCCTCTCTCTGTGTCTTTCATGAACAAATAAACTCTTAAAAAAATCAGAAGGCCTTGCCGGTCTCTGGGCTCCCTGCTCAGCGCGGAGCCTGCTTCTCCCTCTGCCCCTCCCCCTCACTCATGCTCTCTCAAATAAATAAGTAAAATATTTTTTAATTAAAGATTTTATTTATTTATTCATGAGACACACACACACACAGAGAGGGAGGTAGAGACATAGGCAGAGGGAGAAGGAGGCTCCATGCAGGGAGCCCCAACGCAGGACTCGATCTCGGGCCTCCAGGATCACGCCCTGGGCCGAAGGCGGCGCTAAACCACTAAGCCACCCAGGAATCCCCGTAAAATCTTTTTAATAAAAATCAGAAGGCCTTTCTTATATGCTTGGGCAAAGTAAGGGAGCTGAATCAGCGGTGACAAGTATTTCTGGAAAACTGTTTTCTCTCCAAGACGGTGTTCTTAGACGTAAGACAATGAAACAACAAAAGAAAAACAACAAAAACCCCTCTCTTTCTGAGCTACTTCCCAAAGAGAACTGAGCCCGGGGAGGGGCTCCAAGAGGCCACAGGGAACTGGGAGAGTCGTCCTTGCCAAGGGGAGCTCAGGGCCAGCCCTGGTGCTGCCATCTGAGTGACACAGTGAAGATGCTCCTGGGAGAGCCTGGCCTGTGGGCCTGGAATCGGGGGCCACAGGTGTGCCCACTTCGGAGCTGGAGGCTTCCAAAGGAGGGGGAAGCTCCCTGGATGTCAGAGGAAGCAAAGCACGAAGGGACTCGTGCAGTGTGCCCGGGGAGGACTTGGTGGTACCCTCGGTGCCTCCACAGTCCCCTCGTGCTCCTCGGAGTTCAGGGAGAAGGATCTCAGGGGCTCACAGAGAAGATCGGGGTAGCGGGGCTAGGAGCTAAGTCCCAGCCCGGGCTGCCCCTGCACCTGAGAAGGCTGCGGATGTCACCCAAACACACACAGCTGCCCCTCTGAGCAGGGCGGGGTGAGGCTGAGCAGCCACAAGAAACGCACACGTGTCATCTACTGGAGGGTGACCACATAGAAGACCACCGATCGCAGACGGGTGTCTCTCTCTGCTTTCTCTCCTCCCCGCACCCCGGTTCAAACTGGTGGTGTCCCTGCAAGGACAAGTCTGCAGGACGCCCCCCGGGGGCTGGCCCGGCCTGATGACTTCCTTGGACCGATGCCTGTGGGCCTGAGCGACAGCCTCGACTTTGGAACAGAACTTTTACCGTGAGTTCCTTTGTGCCAAGACTGGCAATCTCCCGGCTGGAAGCTCCTTTCACCAAGGTCCCGGATGGATGAGCAGCACCAGCGGGAGGAAGAAGCAACCCTTCGCTGCTGCAGGCGCGGAGGTGGAGAGCGTGTGTGTCAGCAGGGTGACCGGCCCTCGTCGCCTAGGACCTTTCCACTTCTGCACGGGAACCCCCAGACAACCCCTTAGTCCCAGACAGACGGGACGGTGGTCCCCTGGCTCCTGCCGCTGGCTCTATCCGTCGCCCTAAGCTGACCCCCACTGGCTGGATGGAGGAAGCGCAGATGGAGGCCCGGAGGCGGAGGGAAAGGGGATATGTTCACCCTGGCCCAGTTTATCTTCACAATAACCTACTGTGATCACTCTCCCAGTTTTCCAGGGAAGCGCTGGGGAGGCAAAGCTGCGTGGCCATAGATGACACAGCGAGTGGGCACGGGAACCCGACGTGTCTGGCTCCACACTGGTCCCTTCTGCCTGCCACACTGCTGCCAGTCCTGCCTCGGGCCCTCCCCAGCCCCCCAGGAAGGCAGGAGGGGGATGAGGAGCCCTCCCCTACCTGCCCCCCTCCTGTCCCTACCCTCGGCTGGGACAGCTGACGGAGTCCTGTGCAGACCACCTTGCGAAGCCCCAGATGGCCCTGGGGTGGTGGCTTTTGATGGTGCATGTCCATGAAGGGGAAATCGGCATCCTTGATCACCCTGTCTGCTGGCTGCTTACCGATCTGCTCCCCCCAAAGCCCCGAGCTCCCCAGGAAGGGCTCCTGCGTGGCCATGGCTGCATCCCACAGCCTTCGCGGGCCGCTGGGGGCACAGACGTGCTGCAGGCCTCAGCCCCGAGAGCCATGGCAGGTGGCCCGCTGCTGGTGGCGGCTCCAGGCTTACGGAGGGAATGGATGAGGGGCCGCTCTGGTCTGTCCAGGTGCTGGTGGTCCGAGGCCAGATGCTAGAAGGGCTCTGTCTCGCTGCAAGTCCCCCCCGGGCCCCCCACGGTCACTCTGACAGCCTGTGGGGAGTTCGGCTGCCCTGCTGTGTGCAACAGATGCCATTTAGAGAATGTTCGCCTGGGGAGACCTGATGTCTGCACCAAGGTAGCAGGTGTCTGCCTCAGGATCATTCAGCAAGCCTCTCTCTAGCCTCTGGGGCACTGGGGACACATGGAGGAAGGAGCAGTCCTAACGTTCAAGACTCCCTCAGTCTAGCTGGAGAGACAGGGTCTAAGTAAAGAGACAGGCAGGGCCACGCTTGCGGCTGCATGTGCAGCACGTTGCACAAGCCCAGGATGCGCCTCGGCTTCGGCCAAGCGGCCGAGGTTTGTAGGGCCATTCTGACAAATTTCCAGCAGGTGGCAGCCAAGTGACTTGAGGAAGGCGGCCCTTCTCTTGGCCGTGAAGCACAGGTGAGGCACAGGGGCGGACAGGAGGCGAGAATAACTGATCAGCTGGTGTGTGTGGCGGGGGCAAGGGGAGGAGAGAGAACCAGGAATGCCGCAGGTGCTTGCCCGGTGCACGGGGTGGTCGGAGGTCTGTCCTGAGCCAGGGAGAGAAGCGCTTGCCGTGGCTGTCAGGGGCCCGAGAGCCTGTTTGTGGTACTTGGGGACCCGGTCCTACTGGTAGCGCTAGAGGCTTGGGAACCCCGAAATCGAACACAGAGCAAGGAGGCTGTGTTTGGAAGCTCAGGGCTTGGAGGGCCGGCTCAGAGGGTCTCGC